CCTCCCTCCCTCCATCCTCCTGTCCTCCCTCCCTCCATCCTCCTGTCCTTCCTTCCTCCATCCTCCTGTCCTTCCTCCCTCCATCCTCCTGTCCTCCCTCCCTCCTCCTGTCCTCCCTCCCTCCCTCCTCCTGTCCTCCCTCCCTCCATCCTCCTGTCCTCCCTCCCTCCTCCTGTCCTCCCTCCCTCCTCCTGTCCTTCCTCCCTCCCTCCCTCCTCCTGTCCTCCCTCCCTCCCTCCATCCTCCTGTCCTCCCTCCCTCCATCCTCCTGTCCTCCCTCCCTCCTCCTGTTCTTCCTCCCTCCCTCCATCCTCCTGTCCTCCCTCCATCCTCCTGTCCTCCCTCCATCCTCCTGTCCTTCCTTCCTCCATCCTCCTGTCCTCCCTCCATCCTCCTGTCCTCCCTCCCTCCATCCTCCTGTCCTTCCTTCCTCCATCCTCCTGTCCTCCCTCCCTCCTCCTGTCCTTCCTCCCTCCATCCTCCGGTCCTCCCTCCATCCTCCTGTCCTCCCTCCCTCCATCCTCCTGTCCTCCCTCCATCCTCCTGTCGTTCCTCCCTCCATCCCTCCTGTCTATAAAAAATAAAAAAGGAAAAGAAAGATAAAAGAAAAGAAAAAGAAAAGAGAGAGGCACAGAGTGACCTTCCCTGGGGACTCGAGAAAAGACCAAATTTGAAAGGATGACTGTTAACAACCGCCAAGTCTCAAGACGTCTTTCAGGAGACAACCAGTAAGACTAACTGGGGACCGGGGAGATGAGGTTCAAAGGTTTTGAAAAGAGGTGGCAGGTGGCTGGTCAGTTGGTCCAGGGTGAGTCACCCACCGTCCTCATCGTCCTCGTCGTCATCCTCCACGTAGCCCTCAACATCGGAGTCAGGGGCCTCCTTGTTGTCTCTGTCATAGCCGTCGAGGTACGTAACCTGGGGCAGGAGCTTGAACACGTTTTCTCGGTAGTCGTTCAGGTTGGTCACCTCACAGTTAAACAGGTCTAGGCTCTTGAGGTTCTCTAACTTCTTCTGCAAGTGGAGAGAGGGGGCCGATGGTGAGGGCCACTGTGGAAAGTGGGTGGGGAGGGGGAAACACCCCAGGAAAAGGCAGCATGGACGGCCCCAAACCACAGCGAGAAGGAAGCCAGGTGTGTGAGAGTGTGTGCACACTCGAGCGCCCGGCTTGGCTCTGCACTTGCCCAGACCTCAGTGCACAAAACAGGCTGGACTTGAGGGTTTGAAAAACCTCACCCAAAGTTAACACTTTATTCAGCTGTCGCCGAACTGTGACTGAGCCCTTCTGGGACATGAGCGGAGAGCTCTGACACACCCCTGCAACAAGCAGTCAGTCCAAAGGGGGTGAAAAGGACAGCGTGAACTAACTCCTGCGTCGAATCGTCACAGGAGCACAGATCTTCATGCACTGAGTCAAAGTATCCTCCAACCCCTGTACCGCAGAACTAACGACCAGTGTGCTGCCCAGCTGAGGAACGAGAGGCGAGGGCCTGCACTCTTAGTCTGTTAAATATACTGTCCACGAGGACAGGAAAAGAAGCGATGGAGGACCCCAGTTCTGTCTGGAACACTGAATACCATATCTCTATCAGGTCAGACCAGTCCTGCCCATGCTATCTCGCTGGACAGTTGGGGAAACTGAGGCCCACGAAGTAAGGAGGCACACAGTTAGCAAGTAAGGCAGCTAGATCCTGACCACCCCCCTCATTCATTAAGGACTCATTCCACAACGAGTCCCTGTTGCCATCCTGTTGCCATGGGGACCAGGTCAAATAGGAAGAGCAGCCCCTTCGGGGTCAGAGTTGATTCTCTACCACTTTTGTATGCAGACCCAGGCAAATCTTGGCGGAGGGGCCCAAGGCAGGAAGGACATCTGAGTTCCAGTCTTTGTGAGGGGGCCCAGCACCCCCCAACCTAAAACAGGTTCCAATCCCGGGAGGACAGAGGACATCATGTCAATAACTAGGGTGGGAAGCTGCATAAATCATGTGCTCTGCGTGCAGGGAAGTGAGGACACGTGTGGATGTGTGGTTTCCTGTGATGACCCTGCCACACTGTTTTATGAAGATTTTACAGACTCGGCCCTAGACACACTCCCAACACAGGTGATTCAGAACTTCAAAGATGTTTCTTTTCATAACAACATGACGACATCAGGACTCCCAGGCAGAAAACAGTTCTGTCTTCTCCTGGGTGATTAGTGGGAGACCTGGAAAGCACTTTCTGTGGTCAATGTGTTTTATTAGCTGACCCCAAGACACAGACAGAAAGGTAAAGTCTGAGCTCGAAAAAGCAACACCAGCTTGTTGACACTGTCACCTGACAGTCAGTGAGAGTGTCCAGAGACTGAGGGGTGCCTTGTGGACAAGAACCCTGGAAACACGAACCCAGAGGGAGGGCCACTGCTACTTGGACCAGTCACTTTGGCAGCGTCCCGGGGCCTTCCTCAAGTCTACAGTGCCTGGTGCTGTGCGTATTTTCAACAGCAAGCTTGCTGAACGGGCTACTTTTTTCTACCAAAGGTTTTTTTCTGTCACATCTTTGGGTGGTTTCTTAAAAAAAAAAAAAAAAAAAATCAAAAGAATGCTGCACTTCATATCTTGGCCACGGAGAACGTCATTCTGACCAAAATTTCCCTTTTCTAACTGGAAAATGAGTAAAGGGAAGAACAAGAAGTGTCACCCATCATGTCTCTGAGGCCCAGGTCACCAACAGAGACACCATGCTCCACATATGCAAAGGCAGACCTGTACCAGGTTCCCACCGGGCCGGCATCTGTCCTAGCCCCAAAGAAGAAACAATGGCCGATGTACCTCCAGTCAGCTTAGAACCAGATTGCTCCTCTCTCCTCAAAGGGTGGCAAGCCAGTCAGGCTGTGAGCCCAGACATGCTCCACCCCAGGCCGAAGGGCACACACCAGACAGGGTCCGTTCCCTGGCCCACACTGGATGCCCATTCTGGCCAGAGGGCCTTGGTCAAAGCACCCAACTTCCCGCCTTCGCTCACAGCACAGAAGGAGATTCAAAGGAATGGAGATAAGCGGGGAAATGAACTCAAATCACACACGCAAAAGTTGAGCTCCCCACCCAAGCCCCACTGCCCCCAAGGAAAGGGGAGGACCCCAAGGGACTTACCAGCGGCTCTATTGTGCTGAGGTCTTTTATTTTGTTGCCACTTAAATTTAGATGCTTAAGGTTCGGACATTTCTCTGCCAATACTTCCAGGTCCCCTGAGATTCTGTTATCGCTTAGTTCAAGCTGTAGGAGGCAGAGGGGGGAAGACGCTCTTAACTCGACGGCTCAGGGCCCCAAGCCGCCTAGCTCTCCCCAGCCAGCAGGAAGGGAGCATCCCCAAGAGGACACACCATCGAGTTGCAGCATGCACCTGGCCTGGCCCTTAATTAGGCTCCCTGAGCACAAAGCAGCCCCCACCCCCAGCCTCCCGGCTCCGGCTCCCGGCTCCCAAGCCCTGGCTGTTTACCTTCTTGAGTTTGTTTAACTTTGGTAAGTTCGCAATGGAGGTGAGGCCTACGTTGATTGTACTTAAGAATTCCAGTTCTTCAAACTCATCTGTGAGGCCTTTGATTTTGCCTTCAATCGACCGACAATTGTCCAGGACGAGTTCCTTCACCTGGAAAGGGAAGGATGGCGTGAGCGGAAGCGGGGACAGGTCAGAGAATCACCCCCCCACACACACACACACACCCCACTGTCACATCTTCTGGCTCGTACAGATCAGAGCTGCCTCAGAGCAAAGGATCACCAGCCTACCCGGTCTTTCCGGCATTAGCAGAACCCGGACAGGAGAATGTTGAGTAAGCGCGCTTCTAGAACAGGGAGTCATTTCAGAGAGGACAACCAGTAGGCTCTGCCATCACTGAGGCTGCTGTGTGTGTGTGTGTGTGTGTGTGTGTGTGTGTGTGTGTGTGTGTGTGTGTGTAACAACATCCTGCTACATGCTCTTCAACCCCAGTATACAATGAAAATCAGTCACCACTACCTACAGGCACCAGCCACAGTGTGCTGGGGTCAGTGTTGGTGGCATCTGGTATCCCTGCCTACAAATGCCCAGGCCAGATCACCCAGTGGAGGCAGGCTACTCACTTCCCATGCTCAGCCCCCACCATCCACTCCCCCAAACGCTCATGGCTCGCACAGAACACACTCACACTTGTTTTCACTCCTTCCTTCAGCCTCAGCCTGCCCACTGAGGCCCGGCACTTATCCCCGTGGTCACGTCCCCGCCCCGCCCCACCCCACCCTAGGGGCAGCGCAGCAGAGCCCCCTTCTAAGTCCTCATGCCTAGACAACACTGTTGAGGAGAAATTCCCAGACTGGAAAGGTTTGGTGCTGTCCAAGAACAGAACCACGAGCTTCGTGTGGTCCTGAATACTTGGTGTTATTTCATCAAGTATACAGAGCGGCAAGACATACTTGCTGGACCACATGGCTCATGGATGTGTTCCTTAATCCCTGCCTAGTAGATGGAGACGAGGAAACCTGTACTCCTAGGATGGCCCACATTGAAATATGACGGCCAGCAAGGTCCCAAGGCCAACTAAAGGAGGTGCCCTCATGGGCCTGTAAGTCCTCACCCATTCCCTGTCCAAAGAGGAAGGGGGTGTCCTTTGTTTTTGACCAAGCGAAAAGCCACTCTGGTGAGGAGGAGGTTCCAAGTCAAATTCACTGCAGGGGCAGTTGCTGGCTCCAGTGAACACATCAAATGGATGATAGGCCAGGAGGAAGCCAGTGGGCCTCAGGTAGTCACAAACAGTCCAAGGGGTTGGCAGACAGACCAAAGTTCCCCTGGGCAAGCTGGGTGCTTGGGGAACCCAGCCTGTGGGGGATGGAAGGAACCTTACTGTGGGATGGAGCTGACAATTGAACCTCGGCCCTCACATACGCTAGGCGAGCAATCTCCCTTTATTTTATAGAATTTTAACGCAGGTTCTCTTTAAATTGCCTAAGTTGGACCCTTGTATATAGCTTTAAAAAAAAAAAAAAAAAAAAAAAAAAGGCCTTGAGTTGGTAATTCTCCTGTCTAGAGATCTGTGGCACTAGGCCTAGCTGAAAAGAATCTAAAAAGAGAAGACGACCCCTCCTAACGGCACTTGTCTCGGTTCGTCCTTGCACACCAGGACACTGCCTCAGAACCACGCTGCAGCCTCTGGGAAGCATCAAGAATACTCACTGGGTATGCTACACCCTCCATTCTTGGTACTTCACCACAGACCCACAGGGCTCACAAGGTCACCACTGTCCTCTGACCCTTTCCTTCCCCTGGATAAACAGCACACGAGCCATGGCTGCGCCTCTCCAAGAAGGTGACCTGGCCTAGAGTTTTCTACAGACAGAATGGCTTGCTCCGGTCTTCCACAAGCCCTTGTACTCAGTCACCCTGCAGGGAACAGAGTCCACCCTGCCTTCTTTCTTCCCTGTGGATGAAGGTACAGTGAGTGTCTCCTGCAGGACAGCGTAGCAGCCATTCAGAGTTCCACCTGAAGGAAAGGGAGCCAGGAACACCACCTTCCTCACTGAATCGCAAGCTCGGGCGTCCTGGCCATGCTCCACCTTCTTGATGGAGCTGAGAGCCGAGGAAGTCCAAAAGGCCACGGGTCCAGGCCAAGCCTCATGCACTGGGTAGAGTCCCTAAGAATAAAGGCAGGTGGCCCTTCACTCTAGGGCGTGAAAACTTAGAGAGGAAAACAGGCTGCTGGAGCAAGCAAATGTGGGGAGGCTGTGGGCAGAGGGACTCTGGTGTTCCTGGGAATCCCTGCTCCCAAAGGCAGATCCCAGTCAAAGATCGCAGACATAATGTGGTTTTCTAGAGTGGTCAAAGGCCTCTCCTCATCATGCCATTAGCCAAGTGTAAGAGGGCCTGGGATGGGGAGGTAACGCTGGACAGTCAATGGAATTCCTCAGGAAGTTGCCTCTATCCTGGGGGAGAGGGGGGGCGGCACAGCCCCTCCCCAACTCCTGCTCTCAGGGCAGGCTGCCAAGCATTTCTACAAAAAATGACCAGTCTCCACCTCCCAGCACCACACCCAAACTGGGAGCCCCCCTCCCAGGGACAATATGCAAGTCACCACAGCTACGGTTAATAAAAAAAAAAAAAAAATCACTGCCCTCCCCCACAACAGACCCATTTTAAGTATTTCACACACAGTTTCATTTCAACACCCCAGCTACACCCTGGAGGGGGATTCTCTCTATTCACAACCACATTAAAAACACTTGTCTTGGGTTGGTGGTGTGGCTCAGTTGGTAGTGCTTGCCTAGCATGCAGGTTTGATCCCCAGCACCACAACAACCAGGTGTGTTCAAAGTCATCCTTGGCTACACAGACATGTCTGAAGCCAGCCTGGACTGTACAAGAGACCTCGTCTCAAAACATAAAAAAGAAAAAAAAAAAAACCTCTTATCCTGAAATTCAGGACAGCCACAGCAGAAAACCGCCGATCCAACGTGGTCAACAATGGCCACACAACACAGTGATCCCCGGAAGCACCTCTGACACAGGCTCCCAGGGCTAATGGTTTCCTTTCAGCCCTTTCCTGCCTCACCAGCTGGGTGGACACCACTTCTACCTCAGTCCTCAAGGTGCAGAGCTCAACCTGGCCATAGCTCAGATGGCTGTGCACTCCCCTCCCCCCACGGGGTGTAGGTCCCCAAGGGGCAGGGGCTGCTTCCATTCCCTCTGGAGAACTCTCAGGTAGCCTTTCCCAGTCTCCTTCGCTCCTGCCCCTCCTTGGCAGGGAATGAAGGGGTGTCCTGCACTATTTAGGAGGTAAGATGGAGGGTCCAGGACATAGACCCTAAGGTTTCAGTATCCCGTAGAAAGCCCAGGGCCACGCAGGCTCACAGTGAGAGGCAGGTGAGCTGCCTGAGAAGTGGTTCAAAGGAGACAAAACAAAAACTCTAGCCACGGCCCCCTCCGTGGGCCATCATCTGGCTGTCCCCCTGCGATTGAGGACGCACCCTGCAACTGCTATCATTTCCAACCCACTTCCTCCATACTTGGCAGCCTCTTCTCTAGCCCTTCCACGTGAGGAGAACATCTCTTTTGTATTCGGGGTGTGCTGTGCTTCAAAACAAAACAAAATAAAAAAGGCCCACTTCCCTTGCCCAGTCCTGAGTAGGAGCGAACTACAAGTTAAAATTAAACGGAAAGTTTGTACTTCGGGTTTAGATGTCCTCCCAGTTCCACCAGCCATTTTTAAAACATCCCAACGCAGTTGGTTACTCTGTGTAGCCCCAGCGACCAAGATTACTCTGCTTACACAGGAACTTCCAGCCCCAGGCAGGAGGCAATCTCCATTCCCCCAGAGGTCACACCCAGGAGGAGGCTGGCACTCACATCCTGCTGGCAGTGGGGAGGTACCACAGATTCCCAAGAAGTCAGCCTGCCCTTGCTCCCCTGTTCTTAAAAAACAAAACAAACAAACAAACAAAAAAACCAACAAAACCCCGACCCACCCCACCCCAAGCTTGGGTGTGCCATAGTTCCTCACCAGTGGGAGCTGAATTTCATGATAAACACTAACACACTCACTCTGCTCAAGAACTTGTTTGTTTCAGGAATCTGCCTTTACAGATTTCTCAGATGTGACCTTTCTCCTACATCTCTAATGCTGCAGCCCCGGTCACTGCCACCAAGCTACTTCAAACTAGAAGGCTGTGACCTCAGGGGAGGATGTGGTTAGGCGATAGCCTGGTCTACTGGTAACAGACCTCACCCTGGATGCAAGACCCCTACCCTGGGCTCAATGATACCATCTCTGTCCTCTGGAGTCCGAGCTTCTACCTCTTAGAAAGGGGGCGGTGACATCTGTTTAACCTACAAAGTGCACATTCCAGCCTCAAAAAAAACGCTGGGAAACTGTTTAAGTTTCTAAATGTGATCCACAAGCCTCCCCTCGTCACCTATCCCTGTACCCAAATCTAGTTCAAGCTCCCCCCACCCCACCCCCAGCCATCCTTGTAATTGGCACTGAGCACCCAGGCTGGGCTCCGGGCTCAGAGGCGGTTGCTGCATGAATCATTTAATCGTGTATTAAGCATCTGATCCTCCTAGAGGTCAGAGACTGTCCTTCCCCATAATCAGCCTAGCGGGAACGCACACCACAGCACTGCTTAGCAAATGCCCCCCTTATTGGGCCAGGCACAATATGAGTCCTGGGGACACCCAAAGAGAGGGGCAAAACAGCCCTGACACACAGCGCGAAAACAGTGTGCTGTAACCGGTGGAAATCAACGCCGCATGAGCTCTGTCTTTCATACAGCAGCTTTGGGTATGTGCCTATGCCAGTCAGGCACCAGCCCTGACAGCCCATCAGCCGCTACCCTACCAAACTGGCCCAGCACTCAGCATATAGGCCTCCAGTTCTCCCTACACAGGGCACTCCTGCCACATTGTTGGCTGAAGAGACACAGAAGCCATGGTGAACCAAGATGGGGTTAGGGGAGGAGTCTACCAGAAAGAGCAGCGGCTGGTGGCATGCCGGGAGATAGCTGGTAAATAGCCCCATCCCAGAGTACCAAGTAGTAGGATGAGTTAGGGAGTTAGCAGTCTTCAAATGTCCCTAGTAGATAAGACAGGCCACTGAGGGCGGATCGGAGGCACCCAGAAAGACCAGAGGGAGATGCTGTCTCAGCCAGGAATGGCTATGTAACTACAGCCCAGTGCAAAACGAAAAGGTGGGTCCCTTGTTCACAAGACACAAAACAAAATCTCATAAAGTTTTATGACGGTGACAGCCAAGTATGTGCGTGGGTCACATGGCTCTGATTAAAATGGACAGCTTGGATCTACAACAGCTTTCTAAAACATAAAGTCCCGGAAGGAAGGATACTTTTGAGAGCTCTGCTCCTTACTTTTTCAGAACTTCTGTGGTAACTGAGAGAGCGGGCAGGAGGCAGGCAGGCTTTGTAGTCAAACAGACCTGGCTTAGTCCAAGTTTCTCTCTCTAGCCCAGTGGTTTTCAACCTGTGGGTCGAGACCTCTTAGAGGATGGGCAATCCTTTCACAAGGGTCTCCTAAGACCATCAGAAAACACAGATATTTACATTACAATTCACAACAGTAGCAAAACTACAGTTATGAAGCAGCAACAAAATACCTTTATGGCTGGGGGGGGGGTCCCCACAACCTGAGGAACTGTATTAAAGGGTCTCAGCATTAGGAAGGTTGAGAACCGCTGATCTAGGACATCTCACCTCCCTGGGCTTCTAGTTTCCTGTCACAACTCTAGTGCCAACCACCTAGGGCTGGATTAAACAATAAGATGTCCTAGCCCAGAACGTCACTGGCTTGGAAAAAGTCACCCATCACCCCCTTGACCCACAGCTGGCTCCACTATAGTACCCACACATGTATAGCATCCACACTGAAGATGCCGGCTTGGAAAACTAAAGCACCTAACCTGTCCCTGTCCTCCAAGCTGCCTGCCATGGGCTCCTAGCTCAACATCCTGAGCCCCCCACACTGATCTGGAGATGCATATGTTCAACCTCTACATCTTGTTTTGCTGGTTTTTCTATACCAAGCTCCAGCCATGATTTTCCTTTCCTTTACTGAGAGATAATCAAATAAATAAACGTGGCTTTGGTTTCAACCTTGTCAGCCCCTCACCAATTTAGGTTCCAAGTTCCAGGCTTCGAACAGAAGACTCCCATCAGATTGACCCTGTGTGTTTTGGTGCTCCTGGGTTTTAACTAGGTCAGCTTTTAAATGGGCCATCCCCCGTCGCAGATCCCATTTCTAGCTAGAAGGCCAAACCGTATGAGTCATCGGGGTTTCAGACAGAGATAATAGATGCATGCTTGCGTTTGTTTTACCGGTAATCTGCTTACCAACCTTCTGTTTACCAACCGTTGTGGTTAGAACCTGCAAAACTCAGTCAGGTTCCACTCGGGAAGGGACTCAGCTATGGGTCAGAAGTTGGATATTTTGAAAACTGGAGGGGTCTTAGGGATCAGAGCCCAGTGGCTTTCTGATCACAACCGCTGCAAGGTACACGTTTCCAGGGCTAGAGAGACGTTTCACAAGTTAAGGCATTTGCTGCTCTTGTACAGGGCCAGCCAGACTTTGGTTGGTGTGCAGCACCAAGGGTCAGAGGCTCACAAGCCTGTAACCCCAGCTAGGGAGGAGGGTGGATTTGTGACCTATTCTCCCTCGTCTCCCCAGGCACCTGCAGATGTATACACACACACACACACACACACACACACACACACACACACACACACACACACACATACACACACACACACCCCAATACAAACAAACCTAAAAAACATTTTACTCAGAGCATGCACTTTTTGCGTGTATAGGCACACAGTGAAAACAAACACCACACTTAGGATTTCATCTATTAATGTTTTAAAATCTTATTTTTTATTTATGTGCTTCTGTGAGTGAACGCCACGTGTGGGAGGGACCCTGCGGAGGGCAACCGATCTCTTGGAGGGAGGAGTTACAGGGTGCTCTGCGTGCTGAGAACAGAATCCAGGTCCTCTTTAAGAGCTGCAAGTGCTCTTAACTGCCGAGCCATCTCTCCAGCCCTCTTATTATTGGCCCACAGTAAGGGGTGAGGTGGGTCAGAGACATCGATTGTTGAGCGGTTTAAAGAGTCCTTGTTTTAGCGGAGGACCCAGGTGCAGGCCTGGGCAGACAGCGCAAGGAATTCTGGGCTGGGTTAATTTTTCTCTTCTGCCACACCACGCACAGACACCTGTCCTAGGTCAGGATCACAGCCCCTGGCAGAAAGCAAGGGAACCCACACACCTTCCACCAAGCTCCCGAGTTCCTGCAGCCTCGGTGGCAGCCAGGGCTTGGGGTCTCCACGCCTCTCAAGATCTTGCGTAGTCGTAGCTAGGGGCAAAGTTCTTCCTCGCTTTAAAAACAAACAAAACCCTCCCCAAGAATTGAAAGCATCTCCGAGCCTTGGATTTTTTGCTGCTGCGTACAAAGCAGCTCGGCAGGCAGCGGGGGAGCACGTGGCGCGGGCAGCGGTGACGCCATCCTCATTACTTGGAGGCGGGAGGGCGGGCCAAGGGAGATCTGGCCGGCTCATAGGTCCAGCAGGCAGGGCGGGCCCGACCGCACCAGCCCGCCAGCCCCGTGACTCGCTCTTATCGCCCGCTGCCCCCACCCCCCCAAACCGGGCGATGTCGGGTGACTTGGCCTCCACTTCCCGCAGAAGGAGTCGGTACAGGGGACGCTTCCTCTCACTGGAAAGGGCTTGGTGGTACCTGGAGGCCCCGGTGCAGGCCAGGCTTGCTCAAGAGGATGTCTACCTTCTGCCCCAGCCCGCATACTATGCCTTTGCATTCCTCCTATCTTTGTTTAAGATTTTTTTTAAAAAATGTGTTACGAGTATTTTGCTTGCACACTGTGTGCGAGCCCCGTGCCCGCAGGGGCCAGAAGAGATCGTCGGATATTCTGAAACTGGTGTTGCAAACGTCTGTGAGCCACTTGTGGGTTCTGGGAACCGAACCCTGGGAGTCTACAAGGGCAGCAAGCGGTCTTAACTGTTGGACTATCTCTCCAGCTCCCTTTATTCCTTCTCTTAAGGCCTGGTTCCTGCCTTCCATCTCAACCATCGGTTCCTCCTCCCGCACCACGCCTTCCTTCCCTGGCTGCCTGGCCCTGCCCTAGTCGTGACTGACTTTCAGGTAACAGAAAGTTACCAGAGAGGCCTGAAACAGCCTAGACGGCTGCCGTGGGGTCTGACTCCGGCTTGTCTGAAGGTACAGAGGTGAGAGAAAGATGGGGTGGAGAGAGGTATGGGAGGCCGGAGGCGATGACGGAAGCTAGCAGGCCCCATTCTCTTAATAGGTGTTTCCTTCCTGGCTTCCTGTGCGGCCTGGAATACAGGGAGAGAGGTCACCAGTCCAGGCGGACAGAAAAAGGGATTGCTCAAGAAGCACTCAAGGCATATGCAAGGATGCTACAGGCAGTCTCTTGACTTGGCTTCTGTCTCTGCCGTCTCTGAATTTGCTGTGTGCCCTGGTAGAAGTTGCTGCTCACTCTGGGCTTCAGCCCCATCCTCCAGACTGCACACTGGCCAGTTGAGCTGGCGTAGAGAGACGATGAGGCCCTTCTGGTCTGAACTTTGAATACCTGGTATTCCCTCTAGATCTAAACTCAGGCAGGACTCCTAAAGGAGGCAGGGGGCCTCGGGGACGGAGGAGCTCAGGATTTAGTGTGCCAAGGAGCAAGGTTGTTCATTATTCTAGATAATAACTAAGATGGAGAAACAGATCAGCTAGACTCTTTCGACACACCACGATCACAAAAATAGTCCCCAGAGGCCCAGGGTGTGGGGTTCCAAATGTGGGGAGTCTGTCAGTCATCTCACAGAGCACCCAGTGGCACCCAAGCCCCTCTTGAGGTAAGGGCAATGGGCAGGAACCGCCTCCACTCACCAACACTGTGATTCCTGATAAAACCCACGGTGGGTGCTGTGTTCTTACTAGAGAGCCACAGCACTGTCCCCATGCAGTAGAAAAGCTGGGCTGGATTGGGGCAGATCCAGTGATGTTGCATCATGGCTCATTATTCCCCCTAAAGCCTTTAATGGCCATGGAGATCAAGGGCAAACCCAGAGCAGGATTCTCAGGACCCCCACCCCCCACCTCTTTCCAAGGCAGCTGTCTCTGCCTCCCCCCATTGCTAGCTAGCCCTTCTCTGCAGCAAAAAATGGTGACACATGGCATTGCATGTCACAGGACTTCTACCTCACCTACCCTTCCCAGGAGCCTGTCTGTCCCTGGCTACCAGGGCCCTCTGAGAGTTGCTGTACAGGTCTACAGACTCAGTGTCCCCCAGGTGCCCTGTACATGGGAACAAGCCACTCAGGCTGGAAGAAAGGTTGAGGCACAGGTCCTTGAAAAGCTTCTAGATGACTACTCCCTTCTCCAATGTCTGAGGCAAAGCATCCCACTAGAACCACTCATGGGCAGACCAACTGTACCAGCTGAGGGATGCCAGTGACCAGCAGCTGAAATCAGATGGGAAATTTAAACCAGGCAGTGATGCTGGGCCCTCTAACGGCCTCGAGGCTGGCTGCTGAGGAAAGCCCTCGGCACACTCCCTAGGGCTACCTTGAGATGTTGACTGCACAACACAAAGGAGACCATTTCCCCAGTTTCACTGGCAATTCAATGATTCTGCCCATCGTGACCCTGTCATGACCGGCCTCAAAAGACACAAAGCCATTCAGACTCAAGTGCCGGGACACCGGAGCCTTGGTGTGGAGATCCACCCCATTTCCAGTTGACCTTTAAACAAAACAAACAAACAAACAAGAAAACCAAACCAACAGACAAACAAATGCTCCAGGGATGGAAATGTAGCTTACTTGGTAGCATGCATGAAACCTGGGTTTGATCCCCAGCACCAAATAAGCCATGCCGGATGGAATGCCTCTAGTCCTAGCCCTCAGGGGGTAGAGAGGGTCAAGGCTATCGCTACCTCCGATGCCTAATGAGTTAGAAACCTGTGGTGTATTCCAAGATCAGAGTCAGCCTGGGACGGAAACCTTGGGCCTTTTCTGTCCTCTCAGCCTAGGGCTCAGAGGCAGAGAGTCCCATCCGGAAGGACCTCCTCAAAGCAAGAGGAAACATAGGAGGCAAATGAAAGGGACGGAGAGGGAAGTACCCAGACCCAACCTGGGTTGTGTGTGTGTGGGGGGAGGCCCCCAGTCAGGCCTCACACACCTTAGCAGGCATGGAAATGCACGAGAGGCCAAACAGCCCCAGAGAAGAAGCCTTGCCCTTGGCTTCCTTCCTACCCCCTCTCTGTCAGGCCTGACAGAGTCTCCTCATCACAGGAGCTGAAGCCTCGGCATCCAGGCTCCAATAGGGAACAAATGATTTGGGCAGAGATGGAAACCAAGCACGCAGAAGAACCTCACTAATTAAGAAGGGAATCAATCAGCTGTTTCTCCCTCAGCCTAACAGGATGCACTCCACTTGCCTAAGTGAACAAATCAAATACATATGGCAAAAATCCTGGTCCAGAAGGAGGGGGAAGAGAAGAGGGAGAGACGGGGAGACAGAGAAGTGGGGGGAAAGGAGGAGGAAGGGGAGGGAGGAAGGGGAAGCTAAGCCAAACCAGTGTCCTGAGTGCCATTCTCTTCCCCTGGTCTTGCTGGTGAACCTGACCTACACTTAATTATTTTAAAAATAGAACACAGAGCCGGAGCGGTGGTGGGGCGGGCGTTTAATCCCAGCACTCAGGAGGCAGAGGCAGGTAGATATCTGTAAGTTCGAAGCCAGCCTGGTCTACAAAGCGAGTTCCAGGATAGTCAGAGCTACCCAAAGAAACACTGTTGTTCACAGATCTACAGTTACTTTAATCTTAAAATTCTAAAAACCAAAATAAAGAACCCCAAATGTTACAACTTTTGAGGGCTGTTTGAGAGTCAGGGAGGGGCTTGAGATAAGTGGATAAGATAGGTGGAGATAGGCTGGAGGTAGTTGATAAGGCTCAGATCAGTGTCTGAAGGAGTGCCAGACCCCACCCCACCCCACCCCACCGCCATCACAGTAGCCCACACAGACAAAGCTATTTGGGCTATGTTAAGAGAAATAAGCAGGAATGGGCATGGGCGGGAGGTGGGGCTCACCAGTAGAGTGCTTGCCTAGCATGTACGAGCATGCCTTATGTGCAAGTTCTAGTAGCAAGGATTTGGGGGAGGGGGACCTCAGTGGCTAAAGTCACTCAGTCACCAAGCCTGAGACCTGTGTTTGATATTTGGAACCCCCGCGTGGAGAGAACCGACACTTGCAAGTTGTCCGCTGACCTCCACACGCATACTATGACACTCATCTGTGAGCACACAACTGCACATAAAATCTAACAAAACCTTTTTTTAAGAAAAAAAAGACAAGTGGAAAAAAACCAAGGCTCCCTGGTGGGAGTGTCGCAAAGCCGAGCTTTACCAAAAGACCAAGCCTTAAATTCTGGAACCTCATGGGCAGGCTGAAGAAGGCGACTAGGATGGGAAGGCATCTGAAAACCGGGCGCTGGACAATTGAGGGAGACAGGGGTGCCTAGGCTGGAAGATGGGAGACCGACCTGCAATAATCAAAGGATGCTAAGCAACCATCTGCGAAGAGCTCTGCACACAAACTGTGCTGAACGCCCATTAAATGGATGAGTAATGCATTCCGAAGCTCTGCTAAGCAGTGCCGTGGCTCTTCTCCTAAAAATGCTGCTTTGGTTGTGGCTCTGAAGGAGGGTTACCTGCTTAGACCATGGGCCCAATCAATCATTCAGCCGTCTTTAATGAGTAGCCACAGTATGCCAGGCAGCGTGCTAAGTGGTAAGGTATGGCATGGCAGAAAACCCATATGGTGCCTGCCCTCCCCCGTGTCTGCCTTCCAGTGGGGGAAGTGGACACCAAGCCAGTGATTGTATACACCTGTATTTACAGCTGAAGCGCAGAGGGAAAAAAAGAAAAGCCGTAGTGACAAGGGACAGTATTGAAAAGGTGGCTAAAGAAGGCCATCCAAGGTGGGTTTTCTGTGCGGACTTGAGTCCCACATAGTCTGTGATCAGGGCCCTTAACAATGGAAGGAACAGCCCCGCCCGAGGCTCTTAAGTGGGAAGCATGCTTGGCCACGCTGGGCAGCTGGGGAGCTGTAAGAGCATCTGTGAAGGGAGGGCCCAGTGAGAGCTTGGTGGGTACAAGGTGCCTAACCGGATGAACTGAGTTCAGTCCCTGGACCCCCACGTGGTAAAGGAGGGAACAGACTCAGACAAGGCGGCTGACCTCCACATGAGCAATGGGACTTTACCAAGGGCTGCCAATGGTCATGTTTTCTGGGAGAAGTGGGCTACACTACACAATGGGAGACATCCTATGAATATTGCTTTGATTATTATCCTAGGGACACATGAGACAGTCTGGCTTGGCTCTAGGCGTTTCCACTTACTTAAGCATGGAGACATTTTTTGTTGTTTTTGAGACAAGGTCTCATGTAGCCCAGATGGTCATAAACTCTCCATTGCAACTGAAGATGACCTTCAACTTCTGATCTTCCTGCCTCTACCATCCAAGTTCTAGGAACTCAGGCGTGTACCCATTTTAAGTTGTGCTGGAGATCGAACCCAAGGCTTTGGGCATGCTAGGAAAACTCTACAAACTGAGCTACATCCCCAGGCCAGAACTGTGGCTTTGGGCAGGACTTCACCAACTCTGTTCACCACTAGAACGGGAAGAAGAGTCTACACCCCACAGGACCGGGCCAGACGCCAGGTGGGAAGGCACTTGGGAAACCTTTGTGTGCTGGGCATTACTGCAATCCATTTCACAAGCATGTTCCTTACCAAGTAAGAAGCTGTACCCCACAGACTACGGAGGAGGTGCCCTACACCCAAGTCCCCTACTCTTCCATGTTTGCTGATCAGAAAGGCATTAAAAATAATCTGGGAAAACATCCTGCGGTTTTACTTTTCCACTATATAGCAGCCAGAATGCTCTGAACACTCTCCGCCGTATCCTTCACTTCACTCTGTTGGGAGAAGAACCAGCTGAGTTACACCACGGCAGTGTGTTGGAGGATAAACTCCAGGGATGGAGACAAGGGTCCACACCTGGAGGAGGTTCCTTGCTATGGGCCATCGAAGCCTCACTCGAACTTCCCGAGAGCCAGAGACAGCCAGGGTGTTCCCATCCGGACTGAGTAAGAAGCTATGTGATATACAATGGAATATCTGGTCCAAAATCAATTTTCGGTTGTTGCTTGTTTTCTAGGTGTCTTATTATTATTGTTATTGTTGTTGTTTAGTAATACATTCATTCTCCTGGTTTCAGAATCAGACAATACAAGAAAATTCAGTGACCCCTCTCACCACCACCCTCTGTTGGTCTAGTAACTACTCCACCTATCTCCAGGGTGTGTTTAGATTTAATGAGCAAATTTTTGAATCATTTTTCTCTCTTTTACCTCCAAACTAGCCTATAACACTGATTTTTTTTTTTTTAAACCTTGCCTTTTCTCATAGAGTTCACATCTGCCTTGGCTGGGCATGATGGCACATTCCTGTCACCTGAGCATTTGGGAGCCTGAGGCAGAGAATCACGAGGCCAGCGTAAGCTAGACAGCCAGGCTGTTTCAGTAACAAAACCCTACCCAAGAACCTCCCTGGCAGTGCTGGAGATTGAACCTGGGACCTCATGCATGCCAGGCAAATGCTCTACCACTGAGCTACTGACCTAGACCACTGACAGCACTTTTTATTTGTAGCCAAACGGTGTCCCGTCATGTGGATGGCCACTGTTTTTACCCAGGCCCTTCTTCATGGATATTTGGGTGGCTTCCAATCATAGCTGTAATAAATAATCATAGAATCCAAAGAAGCCGGCACATGTCATTCTGCATCCACCTGGCTTAGTGATTAAGTGTTGAAATCAGATCCCACCCTGATTATAGGGTCACAGTCCACAGACTCCTACAAACCTAAGGGTCTCATCACTGCACACCTGTCTGGATGGGTTACTTAACCTCAGTCCATCCCACAAATGCCTAGAACTCACTCAGTGGAGACTGCAAGGGGAGATGGGGCTACTGCAACAATGTCATCCTTGCCTCCTGACCCAAGGGTGTCTAGTCTGGGAGGGGCATGCAAAAAGAGGCCACTGCAACACAAAAGGGAGGTCCAGCCTGCCAACCTGACCTCTCTGGGCCAGTCTTCCTATCTCAAAAACAAGTGGCCCAACCTACACCTTGCAGTGTGCTAATAGATCCAAAAGGTAATGTTTACCAAGTACCTAGCAACAAGCGCCACCCAAAACTCACTCTAGGCGCTCAGGAAGGGTCAAGTAAGCCTCCTCTTATCCCAGGAGAGGGCTTAGCTCAACAGGGTAGGGAGGTGCTCTGGCACACTGCTGCCATGCCCATTCACAAGGGTGCTCTTCCGACCTTGCTGAAGAGGATGCCAATCCCTGCTCCTGTTTGCTCCTAATTACATTTTAGCCTACTTTTATTGGAAAACAATGTTGTATCTTTTCCTACTTTCCAGGTCTCGGTCAAAGTCTCTGGGTATGTGGGCATAAACTTACTGTATAAAGTATGTCAGAGCCATGAAGAGAAAGGACCTTCCCCAGGACCCTGGCACAGCCTGAGGCCTGCCGGCAGTCTCAGGACTCAGGAGGCTGAGAGCTCCAGGAGAACCCAAGTTCACAGTGAGACAAAAGGGGAGGAAAGTGGGGGGGGGGGGGCAGGTGGTCAAAGCTAAGGTTCTAGGTTGCATGCACAGCTCTGAAGTTGACCTGGCTGTGCACCCAGGTCATGGCACCCAGTAGCCATGATCAAGTACTCTCTGCAGCCTCTGTAGCCTCATCCCCTCACCTCCTACCAGGGAACAATCTTAACTACTTTGTAGCACTTCTGTAGTTTAAACAAGGCATCTGGCACACAGGCGGAAAATAGTACCACGCAAACAAAACACAATTTAAAAGACTCACATTACTGTTCCTCACTGTGTAGCACCAAGTCGCTTCCTTTTAAAAGCTCAAAGGACAGCAGCATAATATTATGGAACACCACAAACACCAGGAAGCCCCACTGGAGCCAGAAGCTCCATTCAAATTCTCTGAGTAAAATCCAGTGGCCCAAGGTGATTCACCCTGGCCCTTGGGACAAGCTGGTCAAGTTCTCTCCCCACAAATACCAGTGCAAGGGGCACTAGGAACCTGCATCCACGTGCAGACTAAGGGCAGTACAGAGTTCTATCCAGTCCACTCCAAAGCACCTGGGCCTCCACTCATGGGTGTAAAGGCAGGGAAGGTGTAGGCAGAATCCACAGAACAGTGATGGGTGTTCTCCAGATCCACTGTAACACCAGGGTAGAGCTGGGTCCGGTGGCGCACGCCTTTAATCCCAGCACTCAATAGGCAGAGGCAAGCAGATCTCTGTGAGTTCAAGGTCAGGCTGGTCTACAGGACACCCAAGGCTACACAGAGAAACCCTGTCTGTCTCAGAAAAGAAAAAGAAAAAAAAAAAAAAAAGACAGACAGACAGACCAGGTTACCACAATGGGTGGAATCTCCGTCCAGACAGAGAAGGACTACTGAAAAGTAGTTAGTCTTGCCTGGAAGGATGGCTGCCAGATACAGACAGAGGTGGTCATAGTCCACTCCCTCCAACACACCCAGCCACAGCTGAAAAGGTAAATTAACAAATGCATTTCAAAGTTCAGCTCACTCAAGGCAGAAGCCCCAAGCGGATAACAAGACATTCTGGGACAACAAGGTCCTGCCTAGAGCTGCTGGGAGCACAATGCTGGCCAGCCAGGACATCAGTCATTGTCCACTTTTGTACCCGTTCATTTAGATCACCCCACTGTGTTCATTTGTCCCACCCCCTCTCTCTTCCCCCTGCCTCCTTGAACTCCTCATCCTCCTGCCTCAGTCTCCCAAGTGCTGGAATTACAGACACACACCACCCAACCCAGTCTTGTATAGTACCGTGAATTGAACCCAGGGTTCTGTGCATGCTAGGCAAGAACTCTGCCACCGAGCTACATCCCGGCTCTCTTTTTACCTTTTAATTAACACAAGAGTATCACCGAGTTGCCCAGGTTAGCCTGGAACTCACTCTGTGATCCATCCAGGCCTTAATCTTGCCATCCTCTTGCCTCAGCCCCCCACGCTCTGTATTATAGGTATAAGATTATATTCACATCTTATTCTCCTGGGGTCTCGGGTGTTCTTTGGGAGATGACAGTAAAGACATTTCTGACTAGCTGGAGTTTTAAGCTACAAATCCAGCAGAGGTTATTATGCTGTCTACTCAAATGTCACCTCCTCCAAGAAGCCCTCCTGGACCACAGCTTCATTTTCAAGGCACATGGTGGTGCCTTTGCTCGTGGTTTATTAGCTAACTCCCCATGAAGGGAGGGCTGTGTGGGCACAACAGGTGATGTGACGGGCTGCTTAACTATCGTATGTAGAAAATCTACAATGCACCCAGCAGACAGCAGGTGTTCAGTCTCTGTAGGCAGAAAGAAAAGAATGGAAGCAGCCAAGGCTGGGGGACAGAGGGAGCGGTCGTCAGAGGGGAGATGGGATTCTAGCCCTGCACTACTGTTTGCCATCTGGGAAATGCCAGGGAAGCTGCGTATAACCGGTTATATAACTACATATAACATCAGATATCAGCCGGTTAGGGGCTGCTTGCCACTGAGACATCCATGCCCATAACCCTCATGGAGCTAATGCGTTCAGGGAATACAGGTCTGTGTGCTGGTGCAGAGGATCTCCCCGCTCTATGTCCAAGACCAAGATTTAATCTGGCCAGGGTTTAATGGCCACTGGTCAAACTCAGGGGCACACGTGAACTTGTCCTGTGCCACTCCTGACAATGACCACACTGGTCACTGGAGTAGAAAGTCCCCGGATGCTCCCAGAAAACAAACATGTGCCCCGAACCCAGTATCCTTCCAAGAGGATAGCCTGCATTCCAATTGGGCTCATGACATCCCATCCCAAACAGCAGCCTAGAGTGTTGCTCCAGAAACCACCCCAGACTCATGGACGCACCCCAAAAAACAGATACACCAGCATTCACTCAAGATATATACGAGCATGTCTGCCAACAGAGCCACAAACTAGATGGTGTTCAGGAGTGGAGCTGCTTGCCATGGCTGCAGGCCAGCCTCTGCAGAAGCTTCCCAGGCCTCCCAGGCACACTGACAGCCCACTACCTTAGGCAATGTCCAATCCTCATGGCAAGGGGAGACCTGCGGTAGAGGAAGGCCAGCTCCCAGTCCTGCATGTGGATGGGGCCCCTTCCCACAGGCAGCTGGGCAGGAGGCTGAGAAGCATCTGTCACCAGGGAACCTCCCTGTTCCAGCTGCGGGACGTCACAATGAACCCCGAACACCCTCAGTATGCTCCCTGGCAAATGTACAGAGAAGCACTGACCAGATGAACAGCACACTCCCATGAAGTGTTATGGGAGTCCACTGGGGAGACAGACCGTGCACGGCCTCACATCCTGGATGCCACCTGGGCAGAGGCAGAGGGTTCCCTCCCTCCAGTAGGTCCAGTAGGACTTCCTGGGGAAAGGACCTCTGGGGAGCTGTTTGAAAGATAAAGGATGAGAAGCAGCAGCCCAAAGCTCTGTGGTGAAGTAGAAGGGCTGGCGCCCTGGGGCAGCTTGTATAGAAAAGGCCAGTCAGGCAGCCTCATCCCCGAGAGTCCCAGAGCAGAGCATGCCTGAAGCTGCCTTCGTCCCTACAGTTCACTTCCACACAAGCCAGAGGCCAGAAGCTCTTTCCTTTTCTCAGGTCTCCCATCTGCTTTTGAAGCTCCCCTACCACATAGCAACAGCCTTCTTCAGCTCGGCTGGCTCCCCGAACAGTGCCAGTGCCTTCACCTCTCGGGGAGAATCTAGCCCTCAGGCTCTGCCTCACATACCCGGTGCAAACCATCCTCTTTCCATTCTGGACACAGACCCTAGAAAAAGGCATGGCTATTATTTGCCACTTTACAGCGATGGTACCTGAGGCCCAGAAGCGACCTGCTGATATCATCAAGATACTGCCTCCTACACCCGACTGCCTGGACCCAGCGGCCACGCTTTCCTACCGATGGCCCATTGGCTCTTTCATGCCTCTGGGACTAAGGAATGACCAAGTCCCTGAGTGCTGTGTGCACATGTTTGTGTGGATCAACATCTGACGTCTTTCTTCCTCAATTACTCTCCATCTAGTTTTCTGAGGCAGGGTCTCTCACTGAATCTGG